GTTTTGTTGCATGTCTAGAGCACAGACCGCATTGTTGAGTTGTTTGTATGGAGGTGAAAAGGTTTGTGGTCTTGTGTCTTCTCCATGAATTCGTGTTCTCGCTATGCTTCCAACACCTTTTTCGATACACTGGTTGGGCTGGCATGCTTTGGCGAAACATCTACACAGACAAGTCACATGTTGAAAACCCTTCGACATGTTGTTTTGTTGCTTATCTCAAGCACAGACCGGGCTCTTGAGAAGCCATGTTTGTGTAAAGTAGACATCTTTTGCTCTGTTTCGACGTTGTTCTACATCTTTCAGTATGGTATAGGCGGGATATGAGGTTGGAGATTAGTCAACACGTACTTGAAATCTACAATCTATCATCTCTTGTGCTCGTACAGTGATCAGTGATATAGATGCAATAGGTAGATATCGCGTTGCGCAACAGCTGAGTAGAGCTACTTGTCCGATAGGTACTTACTTGGAATGAAAGTAGACAATTTGACTTTTTGACATACTGGATGAGAATTTCCAGATATTCTATATCAATAACGTTAATGAATATGCAAAGCGGTTTATGGATAGCCCTGTTTAGGGGTATAAGCATGTCGGTACAATATGTATAAAGCGTATTAGATCGACTTGATCATTAGCTCAACCCCTTTTCCCATGGAGCCACATCAAGCGGTATCCAAATCATCTTTCTGTGATGGCCAATACGTTCATTCTACATTATGAAGAGATTGACTTTGAGACTCTACAGATATGCGCAATCTAGATCGTATCACTATCTTGGTAATGTAATGTGCGAATCTTCCTATAATACTCGTCTATGTAATTGAGTGAGTATATCATCCTCAATACGTACATGTATATCACCATCTTGGTAAAGTACAAATGTTTATATAATTCAATCGAGTAAGTATATCATCCTCAATATACACATACATATATCACCATCTTGGTAATGTGTGAATCCTTACTCTATGCAATCGAGTAAGTATAACATTTTCAATATATGCATGTACTGTATTGTATTGTACTGTATCGTATGTCGTACACTCATAAGGCTGAGACAAGCCTTCTGTTTCTACAGATGTACGCACGTACGTATCTTATTGAATCAAACTAACCCCAGCGTCCACCAGTGGTCTCAACTAAACGATTAGTGTCAACGTCTAACGATGCTTAGATTCCCATATCTGATGAATTATATGATAGCGGGTAATTATACAATATATAAATAGATAGATAGACGATAGCAAGAAAAGAAATAATCCATCATCCATCAAAAAAATCTCCCATCGCGATGATAAAATCACAGACATGCAACAAAAGCATTCCTCGAGCACCTCCTTGTCTTTTTTTGTCTTCGCGTGTACCATTTGTTGCACGTCTAGAAAATATGCATCGCGATCTTGCTTTTGTGATGAGATATCTCTGTTCGATGGATGGATGGTACGTATATCCATAGATAGGTACATAGATACAGACATAGCGACGAATTCTCGATGGCGCGCATTTCTTTCAGATCGTCTTTATCCGAAATGCGGCGGAGTGACGAAGTAAAGGAAGCGAGGATCGGGAGATGTTTATTGGGGGAGAAGGAAAGGGAAAGAAGAAAAGAAAAAAATAAATGATTAGTCATCATCGGCATCGTGATTGCGTTGGAGATGAGATTCTGTCTGGGGTTCTTTGTGAGTTATTGAATTTCTATGTTTATATTTTTTAAATGGTTTCCAAGGCATGGCAAATGAGAAATCTGGGAAATGGATGAAAGGAGAGGGAAGATTAGGTTTTGTTGCATGTCTGACATCGTCGATGTAAAATAATTACGGTAATTGCTGATGAGGATGATGGATGGATTGATGGATGGATTGATTACAGCGGGATGGCATCATTGGGGGGGTTTTTTGGACCTGGTTTGCTTTTCATCGTACGGTATGATGATGATGATGATGATGATGATGATGGTTGAGATGCGATGCGATGCGATGCGATGCAATGCGATGAAATGCGATGCGATGCGATGAAATGCGATGCGATGAGATGGTTAAGATGCCGATGACGCTGGTGGTTGGAAAGATGGGAAGATGGGATTAGGTAACACTACGGTACTGATCGGTGGGACTTTGAATTATTGATAGATGGATGCCTGCCTGGCTGGCTGGATGGCCTGATTTTGGATCGATGTGATGGAGATGAATAAATTTTGTGTAGGTAACCGCTGATGACCTCGGACTCCGGAAGGGCATCGACATCGACATCGAGATTTGGGAGGAGATGGATGATGGATGATGGAGGGAAGGAGCGAGGGAAGGAAGGAAGGATCGGTACCGATGGGTCGATGCTTTTTCGATGCTTTCCAGGTGTTTGTTTTTGTTCGCTTGTGGGTGGATCGGGTTATGGAAGGAAAGGGTCACGGGGTTTGGGATTTGGGGTTTGATGGATTTTGATTTGGACATTTGACATTGACATTAACATCAACATCAACATCAACATCAACATCAACATCAACATCGATTCATCGCGAATCGTAATGAATTGTGAATTGTCAATTGTTTCAAGCGGAAATAAGGATCGTATTGATTGAATCGATTCGATGGATTGATTCATTGATTCATTGATTCATTGATTCATTGATTCATTGATTTGTGGGTTTTGGTAATATATACATACCTAGGTACCTACTTACCTATGCTGATGAGATGAATCGGCGATTACTACTTGGTTGTAGGTATGGGTAGCTACCTAGGGATGCTTGAGTTAGCATAGGATTCAATTCTTTGATGGATAGGTGTATGCTCTTTTTTCCGTCGTCATTATCTTCTTCTTCTTCTTCTTCTTCTTCTTCTTCTTCTTCTTCTTCTTCGATTTACCTTTCCACTTGATGTCTTAGATGCAGGTACATATTGTATACATATTGTATATCATATCAAAGATTTCCACAAGAAAGAAGGTAGCTAGTATCTCGTATCATGCCTGCACCTTCCTCCCTTCCCTCCTTCTTTGCTTTACATCTTTCTTTCTTGCCAACAACACAATTCACCCCTTCCCTCTACATCCTCAATATGTTGCACATCTCACCAGCTTTTCACCAACTCCTTCTTTCCCAAATACCATCATGAGATTTTCTGTTGCACATCTCAATATTCACCCCGGTCACCCTATTGATACATTCCTATATCATTGATCTTCGTGTGTAAATGAGGGAGGTATCTAGGCAGGTGTACTTCATTCCTTTCCCTTTGATATACACTATCTAGGTAGATGTGTATCTTTTCGGTTGAATATCTCAGCATTCACACTTTCGCTCTGCCTGCTAGATTAGATGTACCTAGCAGATCCAAGGATCCATGTGAATGTACGGTTCGAGAAGGAGCAAAACTTCTTTGTTGCATATCGTATTTGATTCACCAGTGGATTCTCGTCACTTAATCAAATTACTCATACGAATAGAATAGATAGGTAGGTACCTAGGTATACCCGATTCCTCTCCTTTTTACATCACCATATCTTTGTCTTCACATAGTCATGATTTATCGAATCATCATCGAGTCAATACGCATGTATCATTCAAGAAAAGATGTTTTTCCTAGAATAATTCACAAACCTATAATCATATTTTACAACTGATTATCACGCCTTATTTCTATTGCTCATGCATCGCGATACTTCGTTGCATATCTTAACATCTCCCTCTCATAAAATCTAAATCTACCTACCTTTTCTACACATCCATCGAACCAATAAAGTGATATATACCTATCTTCCTGTTGCATATCGCATATCGCAATCGCGTTCTATTCACTTGTAATTATATTCATTAGCACATTGTCATAAATGATTGAGTATCAGAAATGCTGTGTTGTATACTAGGTATCTAGGTATCTATACATCCACCTCGTGTAACATATCATATGACATATGTAATGGGATTTACCTACTTATTTAGGAGGATCTGCGTATCGCATATCGCATGGAATTTACCTGCTTCTTATTACATACAAGTAGTGTACTTTGACTTAGGGGGTATCTATCTAGTATCTAGTATTTAATATCTAGTAATTAATGCCTAGTATCGCATCACTCGATTCTCGATTCTGGATATTTTGTTTACTTTACTTTGATATGATTCATTTCGATATCTTAAAGGGAGTCTGAATGGAAATGTAAATGGGAAGTCCTAGCATACATTTATACCAGAATCGATGAGTAGTAAAATTGTATATATGTCTACTCTTATGTGGCTAGTTCTATTATATATAATACTATTGTTCATCATTCATCAATTCTAACAAATATCCTTATTATACGTACAGAAAACATATGTTTGAGATAGGCAGAAAGAAAGAAAGAAAGAAAGAAGAAGAGGGTAGAGAAGACAAAGTTAGAGTCCTGAAAATAAGAAGGATAGATATGTATGTTGCATATCAGAATATTCATCCATACCTGGGTATAGGAGGAATGGTGAAGAGTACTATACTATACAGTATGAATGAAATGTCGTATATCCAAAACGTGTTAACAACGCCATTCAAAATTGGAATTCGCGTACTAAATCGATAGGAGATATTCTTATGCCATATCTTATTACCTACCTATTCACCCGTGTTGTCTGTCTGTCATTTTATATATGTATTGATTGGAGTACGTAGGTAAGTGAGTGTATTGTATTGTTTATATTACATATTTGCATTATCAACCTTGAGATTTGATCTTGCTTGAACTGTGAAGAATACCTAGGTGCTAGCACAGATATTGGATGTTTGGCGAGACGCGCGGATCTGCAAATACTGAATCACGAAATCAAGTATGATAGGAATGTATGAGAAGATTGAGATTATGTGAATGAGTAGCTAGGCAAGCGTGGAAGATTTGTGAGCATCAATAAATGTATCAAAAGGTACTCTGCGATCGAGAAATCTACTCGATACAATGTTAACTGTGATACGGAACAAATATGCAAGCGAAAGCAGACTCGAAAGTAACCAATCAAACTAGACTATTCAAAAAATACAAATACCAATACAAACTTTCCTCCATCGAAAGAAAGAAAAAGAACAAAAAAAATGCAGTGCTCCTCCTCCATTGAAAAACTATCCAACAATTAACTTACAAGAACCCAGACTCATTACAACAACTCCTCAATTCCTACACCATTCACGCAACCCCTTTATTACGCTTTAAATCCCTCAACCTGGAACTGCATTTTGAATCCCTCATGCGCCTTCCTCCTCCCCCTCTTATCAATATACCCTACCATGGCCGCAAACCCCAAACACCCCAACGCAATCACATATTGTCCGATCTGCAACGGAACCCCCCTACTAATCTGCTGACCCGTGCTCCTACTCGTGACAAACTGGATTGCTCCTCCAGCAGTACTAATACTACCCGCTGCACTCATCATATTACCCGCGCTCCACTGCAAGATCGCAGATGCCATTTTGGAGGTGGGGAGAGTCCAGATTGTCCAGAGAACTCCGATGCTGAAAGCAAAGAAAGGGACGAGAATGAGAGGGAGAAGTTTTTGTTGAATGCCGACGGCGAGTTCGATGTTTTCGGCAGTAGACGTGTCGGTACTTCCTTTGAAGAGCGCGGCTTGCACGATGGCGGCGGCGCTGCTGGCGGTTCGACCGTAAGGAAAATTCGGCGTGCAGACATCTTTACCCGTACTAGGGATGATAGCACACACTCCTGAGGTTGGGTTAGTATGGGTTGGGATGTATATCTATGTGTGTATATAACGTGATGTGTAGAGTGTATACGTACCAAAATAGCCAACTCGAAAATTCGGGACGATGAACTCGTTAGATGCACCGCTAAATACGTTGATCGTGAAGAAAGCTCGGGAGATCACGTTATTTGCCATGCATCCCGTCAAAACGATAACTACACGTTCATTAATAATCCGTCTCGTACGCTGATCAAAAAAGTGGTTTGGACTTACAATATAAACCAATGATAGGAAATCCGGTAAACATGAACAATATTCGTCGAATCCACAATTGCTTCGTCGGCAACTTCTCGTCTTCTTCATGGTACCCACCCACATAGTCCACCGCCCTATCGATTGTTTCTCTTACTCTTTCGCTATACTCCATTAATCTTTCCCTTGCAAGTCGAAGGTTTCTCTTCTCTTCACGAATTGACGCCTTTTCATCTTCGACTTTCTCTTCTTTAGCTCGAATTGCTGCATATTTTGCTCTCAATTGAGATTTCTCCCTTCTTAATTCTGATTCACGCCTCCGCAACTCAGATTCATCTCTCTTCACATCCCTGTGCTTTTCTCTTAACAATTCTGCAGCTTCTCTCTGGTCATTTTTGGCGACGTAAGCTTTCTCCTCAAATCGTTCCTTTTCCTTCGCAAATTCTGCGTCTTGTCTCTTCAACCGCGATGCTTTGTCTGCTAGACTTCTCATCTCCATTGCCTTTTCTTCTGGAGTTATCTTTGCCCCTGCCTCTGACCACCATCTTTGATCTCGAAGGCTATCTTGTCCCTTGCCTGACCACCAACGATCTCGACTGCTTTTGGGTTGTTTCTTTGAAGTAGAATAATTTGGATTGTTCTTCTTTCGGCGCCTTTTCTTCTGGTGCCTTTTCCACAACACTTTGGCGGCAGGCCGAGCCAGCCACATTTACCTATCTTTGAAATCTGTATCCGGGGGTCGACTTTTGTATGAAAACATAAATAAAGGTGTTACGGAAAGTATTTCTCGCTCATTAATGAAACAAGAGTAAATCAACCTGAGGTGAACATCATCGATTGTTGATCAAAGTTGGAACAGGGAAGCATGAAAGATGCTGGAAGGGGAGTTGGGGGAATGCTTGCATTATCTCTTTGGTGAAAAGACAGGACTCCGGCCTTGGTCACAACCATTATCTGGGTTTGTGGTTACTGTAGAAGTTCGTAATGACCACGCTAAAACTATGTGTAAGGTCTAGAATCCAGACCTGCAAAAGATGCCTTCTTGAATTGGGGCTCAAGATTGGCGGGCCAGCAGAAGATGGCGTGTTTGAATGCTGAAACGCACGCGACACTCATATAAACCCGCTCAATAACACAATTCTACACAGGCAGAAGCTTTGGTCGGTTTGAAACCAACAGGATATTACATGTTTGACAATATTGTGGCTGTGATTGGATATGTAGTAGGATCGCGCGTAATTGTGGTGGACCGCTCGGTGTGGCTGTTGGTCGCCACGACCACTCCAACGATGAGTTGATCCTACGATTTTCGGTTGAGTAGAACGCGATTTACAATGATGTCAAAGTATTTTAAATTCATCGAGAACAGTAGTAACTGCGCCGATAGTTTGACCATTGCTATATATTTGAGTTAGGAAGTAACGATTGCACGTTTTGCAAAACAAGCGGTAACGTACAATGCATGGAATATAGGTCACTGGCTGCAGGAAAGCGATATAGTCAAGAAATAGTCGAAATTTTCGTCCAGAAGGGGCAGTTTTACTTGGAAACTGGGAAACCTTCTGGCCAATCTGCCTGATGGCAAAGCGAGTGACCTTTGCCAAAGTTTGACCTCCTTCAAAGCCGAAGAAAAAAAGGTCATCTGCCCTGCCTTAACTTGCGATTGACTCAGATTCAGATCTTGTTGGATGATATGATAAGAAGGATATCTCCCCGACCTCTATCATACCGACTGCATGAGATGGCGGATGTTTGACACATTTACCAGCAATTGCCTTAAGTCAATTTCCATCGCTTGGAGAGCCATCTCAATCTTCTTGTTATAGCCTTTCTTATTCTTGAAATCCTTTGAATCCTTCGACATAAGACTCGCAAATGGCTTCGAGATATAATATAGTCGACTACGACTCGGACGATGAGCTGGAACTCAGTCCGCACATTAATAATCTCATCTCAGCAGCCGAATTCGTTATTCGGCTGTTAGAAAGGGGAAACATCGATTATGCTTTAATGGGAGCATTTGCCCTTAAGTGCTGTGGCAGCGCTCGTGATACGAATAATATTGATATAGTGGTAGACACTTCAATGAAGAAGATATGGCAAATCATTGAGCCAGAGAGCAGGTAACTTGCCATGAGCATTCAACTTTTAAACTCACTCTGACATTGATAGATTGGTAATTCCTCAATCCCGACTTGTTGCAGATGTAATGAAAATATTTGTTAAGACTGGTCCAAATTACGATGGATGTTCAGAAACAAGGCTCATCGAGGTAGAGTTAATTGCACCAGGTAGGTATCTCTTGAGATTTCATTTTGCAATGAGTGCTAACAAACCAACTAGGTTCAAATGGTACTCCGCGGGATATACGAAATCATCAACAAACTCTCGTGGTACCCAGTCCAGCAGGACATCAGATAGCTCTCAAGGCTTTGGATGTTCTGTACTTGTTGCGGAGCAAACTGGATGTTATGGCCGCACGAGGAGCCCCCAAAGACTATCTAGATGCTCAATTTATAGTCGGAAATTGGAGAAAAGAATTGGAGAGAATTCAAGAATACTCCGAGGTAGTGAATACGCAAAATGATGTCGAGTTGATCTTGACTCCAACATATTCTCAAATGGTTTGGTAGGTAGTACACTGTAAATGATGAATGAGTAAGGTCTTGTAAAATAAAGAGAAAAAAGGAAGCCAAGGATAGTATTTGTCGGGTTACAAAATGCACATAGGCATATTATATTTTTATAGCTAGCCGTTGACTATCGAGACTGCAATAGCCCCCTTTTGTGACATGCTTCATGAGATGTCACCAAAGCGTATATCTTCATTGTCATTGGAGATGGGAAGCACCGGTAAGGTTAAAAGATCATGCTGTTGTAACACAATTCTACTGTAGTGACCATAAGATAAAAGGTTTGCAAGCCGATACGAAGATGCAGAGATACAAAACGGGCATATACGGAATAATTGACATACGGGAAGATGCTCAAGATGATGCATTGTTTTGGTGTTGTGTCTTGTTGTGTTTGGTTGTGTATGTGTTAATTGGTAACATTCCTCGGGCGGTGAGCCTAGTAACTTTTCGGGTCGGCAGTTTCAGCACCATTTCAAGGTCTAAATGGTTTAGAAGAACCTAATATGCTGGATACCTACCTCCTACCTAGATAATATTGTCATTTTACTCACTACTCAAATGTTGCTCGGTGTCGAATTTAGGATGCCTCCTTGAGGAAGTACATTTATAACCTGCAAAAATGAACAAAGGAAAGATGATGAGGAAATTACTTGGACAAACTGCTACTGCTGTCGAGGTTTCCGACACCAACAATGACTCGCCTCAACTCCGACCGACTGCTTCACAGGGTACCGTCTATTCAGCAGGCGCATCACTTTCATGTCTGGGTCGCGCCCCGGATGGTTCGCGCGCCGTTATAGCTGGACCGAAAGTCTTCAAGATTGTCAAAACAGAAGGGTCGAAAATTACAGAGGATGTTGATCTTCGCACCTCGATATCTGCATATCCCACAGGGCATGATGGTACGGCAGCTACCTCAGACCAACTTAATATTAGAGCCGTTCGATGGTCTCATACACAATTCAGCTCTACGATAGTTACAGCAGGCGGAAATGGAAGGATAACGGTCTATGACCTCAATCGCGCAGGAGGAGAAGGATTCGAGCTTGCGCGAATTCAGGAACACCCTCGACAAGTTCATAAACTTGCGATCAATTCATTCAAGGGGAATTGGTTTTTATCAGCCAGTCAGGATGGATCTGTCAAGTGTTTCGATTTGCGTGACACGCGTCGAAGTGTTGCTACCTATAAATGTAACGCAGATGCGGTTAGAGATGTGAAATGGTCGCCAACGGATGGCATGGAGTTTGCTTGCTCCACGGATGCTGGAATCATACAGAAATGGGACTTCAGAAAGTCAAGTGCTCCCATTATGAAGATAACCGCCCACAATAGTGCTGTGTTTTCAATTTCATGGCACCCGGATGGAGATCATATTATAAGTGGAGGTAAAGACCAGCAATGTCATGTGTGGGATATGTCAAAGTCGGAGCGGGGCCAAAGGCCTCGATATTCCTTCACCACACCCGCGCCCATATCGAACGTATGTTGGAGACCTGCTTGTTGGACAGCCACGGGTCAGGGGAAGAGAGTTGCCCAAGTTGCTGTTTCTTATGATGACACCAGCGCCAACAGAGCCCAATTTTCGACGGTACATCTATGGGATGTCGCGAGGTCTGCCATGCCATTCAAAGAAATTGAGGTGTCAAATAGCGCGCCCGCGGGCATACTTTGGAGTACTCGAGATCTTTTGTGGAGCGTTGATAAAGACGGTCACTTTGTACAAACAGATGTCGCATTTTCACCAAAAGTTATAGATCGTAGAAGTTTATCAACATTTTCCTTTTCTCCCACGGGTGATGTATTGATGTTAATGGAGGAAAGACAAGCTCCTAAACGCGTTCGGCCTTCTATCAATTCTCCAGAGTTATCTTCGAGCACTCAGCAACACTCAAATGCCCCGTCTTTCGCTATCAGTCATAGTGACTCCGAGGAGGATGTTGTTGGCAGTTTTTTAGGCCCAAGAAGACGAAAACATCATCGGGGACAGCATAGTGGACGACTGACGCAGAACCTGAGCACTACTCCACCAAATCCAACGGGAATGGCCGACAGTAGAGTGATGAGACTAGAAGACGCTGTACAAATTACTGGTGTTTATAAGCCCCAACAAATCATGGCTATTGGCCATGCTCCCTCAACACCAAAGCGTGCGAAATACAAGTACATGTCTAGATGTTATTTGGAATATTTAACGAAGAACGCCAATGAAGCAGGCGACAGCACTCCTTTAAATGTCACCATTTCAGCGACCATAGAACACTTTGCTAAAGGTGCCGAGTACGCCAGATACTACCGGCTGGCTCAAACGTGGAGACTTCTTGGTTTCACGATAGATCTTTTACTCGTTAGACGTGCAGAGTTTCATCGCCAGGGCAGACTGCAGAATCTCTCGCGCAAAGATTCGGGACCAAAACGTGTCGAAAGCTCTACGAAGGTTGATGAGCTTGATCAGTCAAATGAGAAGACACCCCGAAAGAATCAACGCTCTGCCGCCTCGAATGAAGTGGCCCTTCATCCGGCCGTGAGATCAATTATTGCGGATGAGATTGAAAGCACTTCGAACGTGACGACGCCACTTGTACGCCCTGTCATGGATTCTATTGCAGAAATGTCAGAAGCGATAAATACACCAATGGTAGAAAATGACACGTTGGTACTTCCACCACCCGTCTCCTCGACAGGGCGTGAGCCGATTCCAGTACCAGTGACTGGCAGTTTTACCTCTGACCAGACAACATCAAGTGTAGAAGGTTATGACTTTTATGGTATGGACGCTTTTAAGCCAGCCGTCGATTTTGCTCCGCCCAAGAAACAGCCTCTTCGTCTAGACTATTCGGAACAAAATAGTTACGCTCAGAGAATGGGTCTCATTCGTCATGATTCTGGGGAAAGTTTTCAGATGTTCTCAACATCAAATGATTCCCAGTCCAAATACCTCGGTGGGGGCTCGGATAGTGATGCTCATAGTGTGAGGAGAGATGAATCTTTGCGAGAGAGAGTTTCTAGTTGGGAAGGCAATATTGCTGGATATTCTAAGGGTCCATCGAGTCTCAATTCCCGCCCATCCGAAGAATCCATCGAGAATCCATCTGAGGCACTGCCCAAAATTGTAGTTCCAGCTCCGAAGATTTCTTCACCAGTCCAAAGTCATCGCAAAGTTCCTCCAGCACCGAAATTAATTGAATCCGCCTTCGAAATTGTTTCCTCCGATCCAAACCTCATTGAAACGGATTTCCTTCCTTGGCCAAACGAT